TATGCGTTTTTTGCAGCTATGCAATGCAGAAAACGCATATTGACGAGGGGTTGCCTGTGTGTGTGTTCGTCTGTACCGATTTTTCATCTCGAGAACTAAAAAAGCTACAGGACTGGAATTTCGAGAATTTAATCTACATGCATGTACTGCCCCCCATCCCAAAAATGGGCTCTCTTACGCGAGTGGTACCCATGTACGGGCCCGCCAAAGTTTTTTACGAGTAAGCTGCTAACTCGGGAACCAGAAAAACTGAGAGGCTGAAATTTTAGGGGGACGTTCCCCGTCCAAGTAAGCCCCCAACGAGCTCAAACCCAGATATCGGGTACGCGTGGTACCCGCGTGCGGGTCCGCGAAAGTTTTTTCCAGTAAGTTGCTAACTCAGGAGCCAGGAAACACCCACTTAATTTGTTTAGCTAGAAACATTTGCCGAAAAAACCGATGCCGGTAGCGACAAAAACTGCGGGGAACTATGCAAAAAACGCATCTTCGCACGGGCAGCCCATGCGTTGGCCAATTTTTTACATGTAACCAGCTTACCTCTTCCGAACTGGCACAATGTGACATTTGAGCATCCCCTGACGGTCCGACTTTGCCATCCAGCTCACTATCTGACCCGAGATTGTCGGCGGTGCCGGCACTTGACGATGAAACATGATCATCAAAATTTGACTGCGAATCAGCGACCGACAACAGAGACTGGTTGGCCAAGCTATCTTGAGCTAAAAAACATCGTAAAACCAATATGTGAAAATCTGAGTTGAACATGGTTGGGTCAGCTTTTTCATGATAAATGTGCTTTCGACGTTTAGTACACATTACCTGGAGGCGTCAAAATGCACTGGCGTTTAAACTCATCCTGAAAATCCGCCAGGAAATAGTGACGGCTGTTTTCTTCGCAATATTATTTTTAAATCCCTTTTCCTAAATGGCCAATTGAAGGATGAACCCCACATCAACAGTAATATTCATAGGTCCAAGAAATTGAAATGCAAAATCCCGAGCACTTTTATTTCAATTTGACCCTTTACAAAGAAACGCCGAAACGAAATTCGCAGTACCAGATCTTCCAAAAAAAAGCTTCGAAGTTTTAGCGACAAGAAGCTACAATTGGGTACTAGTGATGTCATCAAAGTTTGCATGCTTTCAAAACTGACTTGCCTAGATGCGCCTTGCCCCGTTAGCAAAATAGTAAAATAGAAGGACTGGTCTTAAGTGTCATGTGCCGAAGGACATTTTACGATGTAGTCTGTGTTTCATTCCTTATCTGTAAACACAAACCGAACAGCGCATGCGGGTAAGAGCGGGAATTAATAGTACAGCTTCCTACCGGCCATGTTCTAAACAGCCGCATAATTTCCAGCAAGACAGTCGAAAGAACGAGAAGTCAGAGAGAGAGAGAGAGAGCAAACAGAGTGGGAGAGGAGAGAAGAGAAAATGCGAAAAAAGACATTTTTCTGTTTTTATGCGTTTTTTGCAGCTATGCAATGCAAAAACGCATATTGTCGAGGAGTTGTCTGTGTGTGCGTCTGTAACAAGTTTTCATCACGAGATCCACAAAAGTTACAAGGCTGAAAATTTGGTGACTTAATCTACACATGCGTGCGGACTCGTATCCTCGAAACGGACGCTCAGGTCCACGTGGTTCTCAAGTAGGAGCACGTGAAAGTTTTTTTGGCGGGCAAGTGTTTTCGAAAACGGCCCATACTAGGAGGCTGGAACTTCACAGAGTTGCTCCTTGGCCGCGTCTAATCCAAAGATTTCAAATTCAGCCTTCACGCACCCTCAGGACTCACGTACGCACACGTCAATGTTTAAACCATGCCAACTTCAAATCAAAGGTGATCAATAAGCTGCAAAGAGCTGCAATTTTGCATACTTGTTACCCACTGTTGTGCCTGTGAAAGTAAATTACTTGTCAGCTGTTCTGCATCTCACGTACGAACACGTGCATACACTTGAAATTTGACGTAACTCTACAACCAGAGCTGCTGGAGTGCTGAAACTTTCTGAGCGTCACCCAGGGCCGTGTTTGAGCAACCGCAAGCGAAGAAAGCATTCACTTTACCATTCACGTACGAACACGTGAAATTTGACGTAACTCTGCAACCAGAGCGGCTTGAGTACTGAAACTTTCTGAGCGCTACCCAGGACCGTGTTTGACCAACCGCGGGCGAAGGAAGCGCTCACGTTGCCTCCCACGCACGAACACGTGAAATTTGGCGTAACTCTGCAACCAGAGCAGCCTGAGTACTGAAACTTCCTGAGCACTACCTAGGGCCGTCTTTAAGTAACCCAAGACGAAGAAAACACTCACGTTGCTACTCACTTATGAACACGTAGAATTTGGCGCAACTCCGCAACCGAAGCATCCAGCGCGCTGAATTTTTTGGGCATGGATTGGGAGTCATTGTAATAATTTCTAACAGTCATGGTGACCAGTTACAATTCTTTTAGCTAGAAGCATCTGCCTGGAAGAGCGTGCCACCGGCGAAAAAAACCTGCGGGGGAACTATGCAAAAAACACATCCTCGTACGGGCAGCCGGTACGCTTTCGACTAAGTTGTTCCTTGGAATGCTGTTGTGCACATTTTCTTTGCCCAGCATCATGAATCTGCGAGCATCTAGCAGCAGCAGAAGCAAACTTGACAACGAATAGTTGCTCACGTCTGCGCTCTGCAGTGAGATGTTTCATGAGAGCTAAGTCATCCTCACTGAATCCACTTCCATCAGCAATACCTTCGATGCCGGACTGGCCGCCTTCTGGCACAACCAGCTGCTGTAGCTTTACCTCCGGCCGCTCCTTCTCGATCAGCTTACGCTCCTCGTTTCCCTCCTCATCACTTGCATCGATTATAATATCGTTGCTCGACATCTTTGCTGGAACAAAAGTTTTTGACAAGCCCGATGGAGAATGAGCGTCGCTGTAAACACAAAACCTTACGCAGCTACTTCTGAAATACCACAATTGCGAATATTTGAAAACACTCACCATAGTTCACTCTTATCCTTAAGAGCAACAACCCCGCCAATCGACAACACTCTCAGATGCAAAAATACCCACTTCCCCTTCACCCC